GCAACATACATTCACACACAATCGTCGTATACGAGGCAATAAATCATGGCTAAAGCACGAGAGACAAAAGAGGCGACTCGTGTAATTTGAAGTGATTAAATGAGTTAGTAAATGAAAGCAACGGGTTCACAATCACAGGGATTTCCAAGCCCACAAATGGCGGCGATCGATGGGGCCAACATTGGAGGAGGACGACAGTGGACGGAGGGATGGACGGCAGGTCAAATGAGCACTTCTAAGGGACGGCAGGTCAATGTTTCAGGTAGGTGGTTTGTAAGATGAGTCGACGTTGTTTGTAGACGATCAACGACAATGATACGATCAACGCCACCAGTAACGTCAAACAGATCGTGGATGTCATCAGCATTTTGTCTGAAATCATCATTTTCAGCAAACAGATGACTTGGAACGCGAACTCATTAAAATTTTGAAAGTTTTCACAAAGAGAAAATGAGATACGATCCAAAAATAGAACATTCATCACGCCACACAGAAACCGCGGCTATACTTGGCGAACAGCGGCGTTGCGCCGTGGGATTACGCAGCAAAATGCCCTCCACGAGCATGGGCTCTCCAAAACTGAACCCCTGCACGTCCATGTCCACAATATTTACCCATAGTGCCTATACCTCTGTATTTATTTGGCATATCTGTACAATCCGCAAAAGTCTTCAGTGATTAAAAAGCTGAGAATACCCTACAGCAACCCAAAAATCCCCAAATTTGCACCCATCCCTATCACAATTACTATAAGTTTGCCCACAGAAGATCCTAATAGAATAACAAGCCTACCCGGTGATCTCATACTCAATGAAAACCAGCAAGTACAACCCATTAACAGAAGGGGTGGGTAAAGAAGCGCCGTGTGCCGCGCGCGATGTCCTACATAGCCCTACTGACACAATAGCGTGACTTACTCGTTGTGAAACAGGTCTTCGCCGTTCGATCCTTCAGGATGATATGAGCAGCATTTTCGCTTTCCTGATCTAAAAGCAAAGCTATTTTTGATACTGCTAGTACGGAGCTGTTAGCCTTTCACCTTCTTCATTACTATCTTCAAGACCGAAGACAATCAAACCACGTTCGGGCAGATCGAAGTCAGCGACGGGAACCGGTTGTGAGCGATTTTGCAGACCTAAAAGGAATAAGCTATAGAGCTCGAACCAATGAGGAAATAGTAAACAGTTCATGGTAAATGTCGAACTTGCGGCTTTGATGTTGCGTTTGATGAGCCGGGTATAGGCGTTCTGTTGATCATAGCCGGGTGGAGAGTTCTAAAGCAGTGATGGTTCAATTCGAGATATCAAAAGGCTTCGGTGAGGACTGTGAAGACAAATGAGACCGTTGCTCAGGTACGATTTTGGCAAAATAGCAAAAACTGTTTCCATGAAAAAGGGCGTCCGTTTATGTACTGGCCGCTTTCAGACTGTTTGTACCCATTTTTCTCGGTCTTGCTCGGAACTACTACCCATGCTAATATTTGATACTACCCTCCCCTAATGAATCCGCATCGCCTAACTACCCAACTTCAGAGCGCCACTTCTCTGATACCTGCTCCTCCGCGTTTTTTGGTTGGTTGGTAATACCACTACCCATGCTCTAAAAACTTATTGTTTCGTAGCTCTTTAAGGATTGCCGGAGACGACGGATCCTTTCTTTTACTGAGAACGTCAAAGATAATGCGAGCTTCAGTTAGGATGCCATAAAATCCGATCGGAAGGTGGCAGGCTGTACTGAGGAATTCCCAAGACGGATCATAGGGAGGGCTTTTAGTCTGTTGGAAAAAGATTGGGAAGAAGAAACCAGAAAATCTGGAACTGACTTCCTCGATAGAAGCTCTCAGTAATGCCTCGAATGCCTCGACTGGGTGTGAGCTAAAACCGCGGTGAGAAGTCA